TCTCTCCCACCTGCCTCAACTCTCCCTACCCCAATCACACAAAAAAAAATTAAAAAACCCAACAAAACACCAACAGCAACAACAACAACAACAACAACAACAACAACAACAACAACAACAACAACAACAACAACAACAAATCCGTTCTTACATCACCTCGACGTTACCCTCTTTTTTCAAAAAGAGAACGAAAACCCTTTAAAATTCGCCTTTCCGCAGTCCTGATAAGCCTGTGATCAGCCCCGGTGGGGAATGGTTTACTTATTAATGTACTTTCTATTCATTTTGATCAGTCCTGCCTAAGACGGCCACCTGTCTTATACGGCTTTTCTTCTTCTTCTTCTAAAACAACAACTCATATCACTGATTCATAGTAAAGAGGCTCTCGTGGCCAAGAGAGGTTAAGATGTTCGCCTCTCGTTCAAAGGTCCCGGGTTTGAATTCGGGTAGAGACAGAACAATTTTCTTCTCTAAAATGGTCTCCTTTCACCTCCTTTCCTGCTTTCTAGCAATGTTCTGTCGTTTGCTTTCGTCTCCACTTTCTGCCCCCACCTCCTTTGCCCCCTCCTCGCCTGGGCTTCTGACTCTTTCTACTGCTACTCCTGGGCTCCTTACTGCTGTCTTTCAGCCACACCCTTGATCTTCTGGAAGGAAAGATCTACCAAGCCTTCTCGGACAAGGGCGAAAAATCTTGGAGGTCCCATGTGCAAGTTGAGCTCGTTTAAGATCCCTTGGTGAGAGTAGGTTTTGGTCGCCACCTGGGCAAAATTCAAAATTTCCTACCAACTGAAAATGTTTAGTGTGTCCCACGCTCTCATATGACCTTATTATGCAGTCGCGAGCGCCGAAAAACACTCATTAAAAAAAAAAAAAAAGTCATAGTGATCATGGCGAATGAAAACAGCTGTCTTTCTTGATTTACAAAAAAAATCCGTGAATATTTTCAAAAAGGAGAGAGAAGTGGTTGTACTAAGTTCTTAATTTATTTATCTTTTTCTCTTTAATTTACTGACCACCCCCCCCCCCAAAAAAAAAAATCTCTTAGGTTTAAAAAAAAATTCATCTAAATTATATTTGTATGAGTAAAGAAAGGCAGCCATCTATAGCCTAATATTGGAAGTGTAAAAAAAAAAAAAAGAAACACACTGTACATCAGCTGCTGCTCGGTAATACAAGTACAACTGCGTCGGAAGTTAATCTGTTTATCTTTATTGTACACTTTAGATTTAAAACCAGAAGAAAT